AGCGCACACTAGCATTCATTTGTGGGGTACATGCTTTGTTGATTATTGAATTGGTTATATCCCAATTGAGTTAGTAGTGCATTAAAAGTTTTCATTCTTGATAAAGGTGGATAACAACCCCTTTTCACTAAGTAGCCGGGATTCTAGTCTCATCTAGCACTGAACTTCTCGCGCCGAAAGGTGGAGCCCAAACTCTAGGTTAACAATTGTTTATTCAATGTTAAAAAAAATAAAAATAATAAAAATAAAAATGTTGCAAAAGCAAAAAAAAAAAAAAAAAAAGTGGGGACTTCTCCCAAAAGGTGAGAAATGGGAAATGATTAGATGGTTGTTGTCTTGATTTGTAGCTTAGTTGATTTGAGCTTGTAATTCCGTAGGGGTATTTGAATGCCTAATGCCCTAAAGCCGTCTGGTTTGAGAGTCATTGCCTAACGCTCGACCTCATGAATCGCTAGAAAGCTTAATAGATTAACACATTGCACTATACTTCCATCTTTGATCCTAAAAAAAAAAAAAAATCGAGTGAAAAGAATAAACACACCTAGAACAATAAAGTTTTAATAAAAGATCCACTTTTTGTCTTGATGATTGGTACTAGATTTGTGTGCTAGTTTGAGGGTAATGATGTGTTTAATTCTTCAGTTGGCTAAGATAGCAACACATTTGATGCCAGTCCACTCAAAAGGATCCGAGAGTTGTTTTGATTTGCATGATCATTTTCTTGATGTGTGGAGGACAATACTTGTTTGCTTGATGTTAAGATTTTGGGAGATTGCTTAGAAATGTTTGAAAAATTGCATACTTGAGGTAGTTTTCTCCCAATGCTTGTTTGCAATATTGGTGCCTCTTTTGAAAGAATGAGCTTAATATTTGTGGTTATCATTTCTGGAAACCCTCACGAGACTTCACTCGTCCATTAGGGGTAACCTAGGGGTTTAAAAGGCTTGTTGCATATGCTAAGTGCAATCGTATTCCCTATGAAAGTAGCGTTATCCATTTATTATTTTCTAGTTCATAGGTGTATAGTTGTTCATTTCATTCCTTTACTTTCTAGTTCGTTATTAGGGACTAGCAATATTTAAGTTTGGGGGTATGATGAGCACTGAAAAGTGCGTATTTAAACCCCTTAAGCTTAGGCATTCTAGTACCTTTATCTATCTTACTTTACCGTTTTAGATTGATTTTGTATTATTTCCATTTTTAGACACTTATCCCGAAAATAAACTAACTCACCAAATAAGAGCTTAATTGAAGTAATTATGGGATTAAACAAAGAAAGGAGCAAAGTGGAGAAAGAAGAAAGCAAATGAAGCCAAAGGTGACAAGCAGCAAAGGTCGATCGATCCAAGTTCAAGGTTCGATCGATCGAATAATAATCGATCTCAGCACTTCAAGATAGATCCAAGCCTTGGCCCAAAAGCATAAAGTCCCAAAAGTTCGATCGATCCAATACCATCCTTCGATCGATCGAACAGTTTTGTCCTTATTCAAATGATTGATCCTATCCACAACTGTACCACCCACTAACCACTTTTGTCCTTTTCCCATAAATATCTCCCAAAAATATCTCGGATTTGTCTTTTTCCAAAAAGCTTAACTAGTTGGATCGATCCAGCCTAAGTTCATTAGATCTCAGCCAGTTCGATTGATCCAAGTTCAAGGTTCGATCAATCGAACTTCCTCTAGTGCGAAAAAGTTAAAATTCCATCTCATTGAAAGTTGTCATTTATCCAATCATTAGGGAATATTGTGTGCACGACCCCAGCTCATTTTGGGTGTCATTTTGACCTACCTATATAAGGATAAGGATTGCTTTTTACAGAGGGGAGCCAACATTATTTTCATATCATCTATTGGAGAGCAAGCTTAGAGGAGGAGGAGGCTAGAGACACCATTGGAGTTCTTCATCAACAAGGAACAGATTTCAACCATGGAATTAGCTCTTGAGGGTTGAAGCATCATCACCATGAGTGGCTAGACATCCTCTTGGGGCTAAAGTTAGCCCCAAGCATGCTTTCTATATCTCAATCTTGTGTATCATTGAGGGATTAGTGTTGTAATTGATGTTTTAACACTTTGATACATATAGATCTTGTTTATTCAATGATTTATGTGGTTTAATGCTTCCAATTGATCATTTCATTCTATCCTTATGTCTATGTATGCTAGAATAGATGTTTTTGTGTTTGTCTCTAGATTTTGTGTTATTGATGCATGTCTATGTGTATTGATGCTATAGATTTGGAAATTGTCAAAGCATAGTACTTAAAGGAATGCTTTTGTGATTCTCTTGATGGTTCATGCTTATCTCTTGATGGATTGTGCCTCTCCCCTAGTTCATTTTCATGCTAGTAGTGTAGATATAGTGTAGTTGTAGTGTAGTGTTAAATGGGAGGACAATCTATGCTTGTTGTTTGATGATCAAAGCTTTTGAATGCAATTAGCATATGTCTCTATCCTTGTGTTGTATTTAGATTGTGAGCTTAATGAAAGGATTAATGACTTGTTTTGATTTATTGTGCCTTTCATATGTTGTTTAGACAATATATGCTTCATTACTTAGATATATTGTGTCTTTCACATGATGTTTAGACAATACATGTTTAACTAGTCATCCTTACTTGTTGAATCAACAAAACACACACACACCAATATTGCAACACACCATTTGCCCTCATTAATCACTTGTCAATGATATAGAAATGCATTGCTTGGTGGTGATCTCTAAACCCCAAGACCTTTCTTTCTCTTATTTACTCTTAATTGCATTTTTTGCTATCAATTAGTTTAATTTAGTTGTTCTTTAATCAATCAACCAACCTATTGTTTGATCACTCGACCTACTAGCCCTAATTGTGATTCCACGACATTACTCGATCCTTATAATCCCTTAGGACGACCCCTTCTCACTCATACTACATAGTATAGGTGTTAAGCGGTTTATAAATTTAAGTATGATGCCCACTTGACACTAATTTCCAAACTCAAAGTGTTGTGCATTATTTTGTGCACACGTTCGGTTCCGCGTCATGTAACAACTCTCCTTCCCTTTGAGAAAATTCTCTAATTGAAGCACACATTACATTGGTCAAACTTACGGGGTAAAATTTTTTAAAAAACTCATTTTGCTTTTGTGCCCAAGATGTTATTGAATTCATCCCTAGAGTATTGAACCAATGTTTTGCTTTATTTTTAAGTGTGAAAGGGAAGAGGAGTAATTAAAGGACTTCCTCCGGGACATCCATGTTACCTCACGGTGGAACATAGTTCAAGAAATTCATTAAAATGCCTATATGGTTCCTCTTCATCCAAGCCATAAAAAAGTGGACACATTTGAATGGTCTCGGGCTTGATTTCATATTGATTAGCCTCAAAATTAGGCAACACAATGCAAGTAGGTGCATGGTATGCATGAAGATTATAATGATCACGAAGGACCATTGGAGGAATTGGAGCTTGAACTCTGGGGTCATGTTGATTAAGAGGTAGGTTATGCATGAAACGTGGGTCTAAGTAGCCAAGATTACCCTCTAGATTTTCCATGTGAAAGCTTAGAATGAATGGTATGACAAGGTCTATACAAGACTACAAATGACACACAAATCACCGCAAAACAAGCAAACACTCCTCCTTCACAACAAATCAATAATCAACAAACTTCCTCCACATACAATGCTCCTATACTCCCATGCTTTGATAACAATGTAAAGAAAAGTAAATTGCCTCCACGCGGGCTCACGATTTATTTAAAAATTTAAAAATAATCCTCCACGCGGGTTGAAGATTTAACTAAGGGATTGAATAAGAAAGTCTCACAAAGGTCCTTTAGCACTTCAACTCCAAATTTAAAGCTTAGCTTAGCAAAAAAAAAAATTATTTTTAGCATTTTTCCTTGCTTGCTTAGCACCTTTACTTGAGGGCTCTTTTGCTTGGATCCTAGCTCAATGTTCCTTGTCAAAGATGAACAAACACAATAAATAATATAAAGAAAAATAAAAATGAAGTAAAGACATGATCAAAAGAGTACTAATTCTTAATTGATTCCACAAATACGACGTTGCCTAATCTCCTGCAATAGTGCCAAAATTTGACGGATGTTTAAAGCCGCTTGATACACGTCAAAATTGATGTAGTGAATGTGCGGTTCAAGAAAAGCCTTATGGGTCAAGTTTAAATTTATAGAAACCACTACTAACACTGCTACTAAAGTAGCAAGAGTGAGCAGGGATCGTCCCAAGGGATTGGAGTTGTACTTGGTTGTGGAATCGCAATTAGGGTTAGTAGGTCGAGTGATCAAACAAATGGTTGATTGGTTGATTAAACTAGAGAGCAAATTAAACTAAATAATTGAATGTAACAAAGAGTAAGTAAGAGAGAGAGAGAACTTGGGGTTTAGAGGTCACCACCAAGCAATGCTTTTCTACACCTCTAACTAGTGACTAATGAGGGTAATGTGTGTTGCAATATTGGTGTGTGTGTGTGTGTTTGGTTGATTCAATTAGCAAGGGTGACCAATTAAGCATACATTGTCTAATCAACATCTGAAAAGTACAATATATCTAGCAATTAAGTATATATTGTCTAAATAGCATGTGAAAAGCAGAACATATCTACCAAGTCATTAATCCTTTCATTAAGCTCACAAGCCAAATACACCATAAGGTTAGAGACATATGCTTCTTACATTCAAAAGTATGGAACATCAAATGACTAGCATGGATTGTCCTCTCATCTAATAACTATGCTACCACTACACTACAATTAAGCTAATGACATGAAATTAAACTAATTAAGCTAAATGAGAGGCATAATCCACCAAGAAATGAGCATGGACCATCTAGAAAATCACAAAGCCATTCTTTTAAGCACAATGTTTTGACAATGCCTAAATCCCTAGCATTGATACACATAGACATGCATCAATTACACAAGAAATAGAAACAAACACATGAACATCTATTCTAGCATACATAGACATATAGATATAATGAAATGATTGATTGGAAATATAAAACCACATAAATCATTGAATAAACAAGATCTATATGTATAAATGTGTCAAAACATTAATTATAACAGTAATCTCTCAATAATATACAAGATTAAGATATAGAAAGCATGCTTGGGGCTAACTCTAGCCCCAAGAGGATGTTTAGCCACTCATGGTGATGTTGCTCCAACCCTCAAGGGCTAACTCCATGGTTGAAATCTGCTCCTCGTTGATGAAGAACCTCCAATGGTGTCTCTAGCCTCCTCCCTTCTAAGCTTCCTCTCCAAGAGATAATATGAAAATGATATTGGCTCCTCCTTTTGTTAAAAGCAATCCTTATCCTTATATAGGTAGGTCAAAATGACACCCAAAATGAGCTGTGGTCGTGCACACAATCTTCTCTAATGATTGGATAAAGGACAACTTTCAATGGATGGAAATTTAACTTTTTCGCACTAAAGGAAGTTCGATCGATCAAACCTTGGACTTGGATCGATCGAACTGGCTGAGATCCATCAAACTTAGGCTGGATCGATCCAACTGGTTGAGCTTTTTGGGAAAAGACAAATTCAAGATATTTTTGGAGATATTTTTGGGAAAAAGACAAAAGTGGTTAGTGGGTCATACAGCTGTGGATAGGATCAATCTTATAAATAAGGACAAAAGTGTTCGATTGATCGAAGGGTGGTGTTGGATCGATCGAACTTTTTGGACTTCATGCTTTTGGGTCAAGGCTTAGATCTATCTTGAAGTGCTGAGATCGATCATTATTCGATCGATCGAACCTTGAACTTGGATCGATCGAATTTTGCTGCTTCCCACCTTTGGCTTCATTTGCTTCCTTCTTTATCCACTTTGCTCATTTCTTTGTTTAATCCCAGAATTGCTTCAATTAAGCTCTTATTTGGCTGAGTTAGGTTATTTTCGGGATAAGTGCCTGAAAATGGAAATAATACGAAATCAATCTAAAACGGTAAAGTAAGATAGATAAATGTACTAGAATGCCTAAGCTTAAGGGGTTTAAATACGCACTTTTCAACGCTCATCAATATTTTAATAACTTGTGAAATATATATCTAAACATATGAGTTTTATAAAAGAATATATATTTTAGATTGAACAACATTTGACCTGATCCTCACCTTTTATGTGATGGGGTATGTAGGCAACCTAAGTCACTCTTAGGTTCGGTCACATCAATATCTAAAATATATATTCTTTTATAAAACTCATATGTTTAAATATATATTATACAAGTTATTAAAACATTAACCTTATTTTCCTATAATAAGGATGAAGCTTATAAACCATTATTGAATAAAGCAATAAACGTTAAAACTATACATATTCATCTTTAGGAATGCAGTATAAAAATAAGGTAACCGTGTTTCACGGGTGTCATGGGGTGCCTAACACCTTCCCCATGCATAATCAAACCCCCGGACCCTTTAATCTGGTTTTCGTAGACTAAGTGGATATCAAATACATTAGGGCCCAAATTAGACCTTTCATGTGTCCATCTTTTTTTCCAAAGTCCTTAGACACTATAGGTGACCTAGCACACCATAATCCTATGCTAGGTGGCAACTCCGATAATTAACAAACTGGCCCTACTACTAAATAAATAATAATTTGACCATAGTCACTCCGTCGCATTAAACCCCTTTTTTGACCCATAAGTGTTTAATTTAACCCTTATAAAGGTGGGGAAAAACCCGAGCGCGACACTAAAGCCTCTACCTGAGACTTTAAAGTACTCTTATCTAGGTAAGTCTGACACTTTTCCCGTGGTAATTGCTTCGGACTTGACTACCAATCAGGAAACCCAACTTTTTAAGGTTCTTAGGGAAAATCATGCAGTCATAGGGTGGTCCATTGACGATATTCACGGCATTAGCCCTGTAGTGGTTCAACATCGTATTCATTTAGATAATGATGCAAAAACCTATAGGTACCCCCAAAGGAGACTTAACCCTAATTTAAAAGAAGTTGTTTGTGTTGAAATTATCAAATTTCTTGATGCCGGTATCATCTATCCTATTTCTGATAGTCAGTGGGTAAGCCTCATTCATGTTGTCCTTAAAAAATCAAGCAACACTGTCGTATCCAATAGCCATAATGAATTGGTTCCTACTCGTGTCCAAACTGGATGGCGAGTTTGCATTGATTATCGAAAGCTCAATACTATCACTCGAAAGGATCATTTCCCTCTGCCTTTCATTGATCAAATGTTAGAAAGATTAGCTAGTCAATCCTTCTATTGCTTCTTAGATGGTTACTCTGGGTATAATCAAAACCCTATCCATGTTGATGACCAAGATAAAACCACTTTCACCTATCCATTTGGCACATTTGCTTATCGTCGCATACCTTTTGGTTTATGCAATGCACCTACTACATTTCAGTGGTGTATGATAAGTATTTTCAGTGACATGGTTGAAAAGTTTCTTGAAATCTTCATGAATAACTTTTCTATCTTTGGTTCATCATTTAAGCAATGCCTTCACCATCTTACTCTTGTTCTTCAGCGTTGTCATGACACTAACTTGGTTCTTAACTGAAAAAAGTGTCATTTCATGGTTAAAAAAAGAATTGTCCTCGGTCATAATATCTCCACTACAGGAATTGAGGTAGATCAATCTAAAGTTGACCTTATCTCGAGTTTACCCATTCCCAAAACTATTCAGGATATTAGAGCTTTCTTAGGTCATGCTGGTTTTTATCATCATTTCATTAAAGATTTCAGCACGATAGCACGACCTCTCACCCATCCGTTAGGGAAGGATATACCCTTTGAGTTTAACGATGCCTGTCACTCTGCTTTTGAACAATTAAAGTCATCTCTCACCACTGCACCCATCATCCGTTCGCCAGATTGGAAATTACACTTTGAAATCATGTGTGATACGTCGGATTATGTAATAGGAATTGTCTTAGGTCAAAAGGTTGAGAAAGCAAGACATGTCATCTATTATGCTAGCAAAACCCCGAATGATGCCTAAATCCACTACTTCACCATGGAGAAAAAATTGTTAGCAGTCGTGTTTTCCTTTAACAAATTTCTCTCCTATTTGATCGATTCTAAAATTATCATTTATACCGATCATACTGGATTAAGACATCTTCTCTCCAAAGTAGATACCAAACCTCGATTGATCCGTTGGATCCTACTTCTTAAAGAGTTTGACCTTAAGATTCGTGATAAGAAAGGCTCTGATAATGTAGTGGCCGATCATTTGTCCCGTCTTGTTGTTGAGTCTATTACTAAATCCATTCCAATCTTGAATGCTTTTCCGGATGATCAATTATTTGCAATAACTCATGCGCCATTGTATGCTGATATTGTCAATTACATTGTGACGGGTCAAATTCCTTTAACTTGGTCCAAACAAGAGATAGATAAATTCCTAACTAAGGTTAAGGAATATTTTTAGGACGACCCTTACTTGTTCAAATATTGTCCAGATCAAATCATCCGTAGGTGTGTCCCTAAGGTAGACCAAGAATCTGTCATTTCCTTCCGTTATGATCAAGCCTGTGGTGGCCACTTTAGCTCTAAAAGAACCGCTGCAAAAATCTTGCAATCAGGATTTTATTGGCCCACCCTTTTCAAGGATACCCATACCTATTGTTTGGCTTGTCCTATATGCCAATTGTTAGGTAAGATTACCAAGCATAATAAATAGTCCCAACAACCCATTTTAGTTGTTGAAATTTTTTATGTTTGGGGTATTGATTTTATGAGACTCTTTTCTTCCTCATATGGATGTCTTTACATCCTTCTGGTTGTTGATTATGCATCCAAATGGGTAGAAGCCTTAGCCACCAAGACAAATGACTATCGAGTTATGGTGCGTTTCTTCAAAGACTTAATTTTGCCTGGGTTTGGTACACCTCAAGCCATTATAAGTGATAATGGTTCACATTTTTGCAATAAAGTCTTTGGAAATTTATTGTCCAAATATGGTTTCACTCACAAAGTGGCCCTGTCATATCACCCACAAACCAATGGCCAGGCTGAGGTATCCAATAGAGAAATCAAGCAAATACTGGAAAAAATAGTTAATCTTACACGAAAAGACCGGACCCTCCGGCTTCAGGATGCTATGTGGGCATACCAGACTGCTTACAAGACCCCAATAGGAATATCCCCATACCGTTTGGTTTATGGCAAAGCCTGTCATTTGTTTTTAGAGCTGGAACACTGTGTTTATTGGGCCATTAAGGCCATGAATTTCGACTCTGATAAAGCCAGTGAACATAGGAAACTCCAACTTGATGAGTTAGAAGAAATTCGAAATGATGCCTATGAGAGTTCCAAAATATATAAAGCCAAAACAAAGTTGGAACATGACAAACACATTCTTCGAAAGGACTTCTCCCCTGAGCAAAAGGTTATTTTGTATAACTTCCGTCTTTAATTGTTTCCCGGGAAGTTACCGTCACATTGGTCCGGCCCATACTATGTCAAACATATGGCAAGTCATTGTGCAATTGAGGTATAAGACCCCATGATTGGGGAATTGTTTAAAGTTAATGCTCATCGCCTAAAGCCTTTCCTTGAGCTCGAGTCTCGTGAAATTGAGGAACTTCTCTTCGTCGATCTTGTCTATTTGGACTGATCTCTCCGGGGGTCCTATCCCCCTTGCGTCTGGCTGAAGACATTAAACTTAGCTCTCCTGGGAGGCAACCCAGTTCCTTGTTTCTATTTCTTTAGCTATACTTATATTTTGTTTGGGGGTACAATCTGTCATAATTTCAGAACATTTGGTCTCTCTTTTGCAATGACTATCTGCAGGGATTGTACTTCAGAAGCACCAAATCAATTGAGGTAATTCGTTCTAATTTTCTTTTTCTTTTTTTTTCTAGCGGTACATTGTCCATTTCATTCACCACTTTTTAGTTTTCTGTTTTTCAAACACTAGGGACAATGTTTTTTTTGTTTGGGGGTAAGTTAGATTTATTAATACATGTACCTCTTTTGAAAATCTTTTCACAAAAAAAAAAAAAAAAAAAAAAAAAAAAAAAAAAAAAAAAAAAAAAATCCTGCTTTTCTACTTTGTGAAAGTTAAAAGATGTCATTATTCTAGATTGAGATTGAGCTTGTTACTAAGATGATATAACTATAGACATTGCACCATGAAAATTTAGAAGTAGAAATATTTTTGCACAAAGTCGTAACTTGAAAGAAAGAAGTGAATAATCTCCCAAGAATTTAGAAATATATTACTAGAGACTTAAAACCATGTGAGCTTTCGTATTTTTCATCTTTTTAGAGAGCTTTACGCTAACTCTGAGTTACAAGATGGCTCAAATTTCTTGGATAGCGCGATAAAAATTTGTTGTTAGTCTCATAATTCGTCATCTTGGTAGATCATTGAGAATGAAATCACATCGAGTTAAGAGAAACATATGTCTTTTAATTTACTATGTACTATCATACTTTCATTACCTTTTATAATCTTGTTATTTTTTTGAGAAATGTTAGGAATGACTGTGTGTAAAAGAAAAAGGGATCAAGAAATCATTCATATCCTCTTCAAAAAATAAATAAAAATAAAAATAAAAAAATTAAAAAAAAAAAAAAAAAAGAAGAAGAAGAAGAAGAAGAAGAAGAAAAAACAAGAAGAAGAAGAGTAAAGTGTCCCTTTCAAGTATTTTGAGAACCCCTCATTCTCAAAAGCATTTATGTACAAATTGAGCTCAATAATATTTTTAGAAAAGGTGTAATAGTGCATAGTAAATGAGAAGGCCTTATGGTGGGTGACTCGACATTCTCTCAAAAGTGATCAACATTCTTGTCATGAAACTCTTCTATTATATGTATCGGTCCTTCAGATAATTAGTGTGTGAGCTTGATTTTACTTTGGAAACAGAGTTCCCACTCACATATATTTGAGAGATACAGTTAGCCAAACTTCGAGATATGTTCTTTTAAAGATATATTTACATGTGAGATTTGAAGTAAAAACATAGTTTTCTAGAGACTTGGGAATTTCATCACATGGATTGGAAAATGAATTTTTGTCGACTTCGCACACACACACTTTTTACTTCTAGGTTGTTTATGGGTGAACTTTCTTGAAATATTTGTTTTTATAACACCTTAGAAGCTCGTTATATATAGAGAACTTGATATTTTCATCTCTGAAACTTTTCATTTTGTAGATATGCAGGAAAATTCTTTGGAAGTTTGTGGGTACCTTCACTAGAAACCCTCATGAGGCAGGCCTTATTGCATATGGTAAATGCAATCGAAAGTAGCTTGCGAAAATGGCACATTTTTTTGATAATAAAAGTAATATTTTTTGTAAACTTATCTATTTTTGTCATTCTTTACTAAAAGACTAGCAAAAGCTTGTTTGGGGGTAATTTGATAAGCACACAAAATCTATTATTTCATGCACCAAAATAAACTTTTAATTAAGCTTTTATATTATTTAAATATTCTTATATGCTTGTCTTGTGTTTTGTAGGTGTTAATGCATGGATGAGAAGAAAAGAAACAAAAAATGAAAAATAAGTGAATAATTGGCTACAAAAGAAGGATTATATTTTTTATAACAAAAAAATATACACAAGGAGCATGGTAGGAAAGTTGGTGTGTTGTGCAAATTGTCATTCAAGAGGTTTCAATTCCAAATCCAAGGTGCAACAAAATGGTGTTATATTTTTGCTACATGGTCAATCACTTGCCACGTCATCACCTGCCATATCATCATTGAAGAAGAAGTAAAGAGAAATGAGGAGAGAGAAAGAAGAAAATAAAAGAAGAAAATAAAAACAAAAGTCGAGAAATGATGTGCATGTGAGAAGAGAAAGGAGGAGAGAGAAAGAAGAAAAGAAAAGAAAAGAAAAAAAGAGAAAAAAGAAGAAAAAGAAAAGTCAGCAAAGGTGAAGAAGTGGTCAGAAGGTAGGAAAAAAAGATGAAGAATTGGTTGATATAGAAGTGGTGAGAGTAAGGAGTGGTGGCGTGTAAGGAAGCAACATGTCAGATTAGGCTATGAAAATAAATGGCCTCTGATAGAAAAAGTTGGAATAGGCAAGTGGTTCCACACACCACTTGTGTTTTTCATCCAGCTATAAATAGGCGACCCTTTTGCACAAAACAGAGTGTGTAGAGATTGAGATAAATACTACAAGAAAAATGACTTTTTACCACGGTGGAAAATGCTTTCTACCATGGTTTTGAACCGTGGTGGAAACAGTCGTGGTAGTAAGTAGAGACTTTCTACCACGATGTAGAACCATGGTAGAAAATGTTATATAATTTTTTTTTTAAAAAAAAAGTAGTGTAGCTCCTTTTTTTTTTTTTTTTTTTTTTCCTACCACTTACCTTGCAAGGACCCTAGAAGCAAACCCTAAATAAATAAATAAAATAGAATCATAAAAAAAATAATTTACAACTGGCAAATAACATTATATATATATATATATAACCAATTCCAAATCATGATTTTATACAAAAATTAACCATATACAAATTTCAAAGAAGTACATGCATGATCCTCACCTTATATCTTTACTTAACTAAAATAAAACAAAAATTCTTCATATCTTTTTGCTCTGTTTTAGTCTCTCTCTTTCCATATATGCAACTTCTTCATGAGCCATACAAAAAAAGTAATGGCAACCGCAATCCTAGTTTTGACCTACAAAGATGTGATAGTTAAAGTAAGAGAATAAATAGAACAGTTCTTAAATGAAATTAGTAGTCAGCCCCTTACCCCTAAAGAAACTATGTAATTTTCCGTACTGATAAGTTGTCTTGGGTACATGCATTCTACTCTTCTGAAATCAGTAAGAGCTATAGTATGTCTGACAATGAAGCCTAAACTAGTTGATGCTGCTGATTGTTAAAATTATTTATGTTTTTTGTCATAGATAAAGCCATAGAGGTCATATAACCTCCATTCATTCCTATCTTGAAAATCGAAGGAACAACTCTTACCATTCTAATCCAAATTGTAGAATATATGAGTTTTTTTTTTTAATGGTAGAATATTAAGATAATTATTACCCAAGTTTCTTACAAGCATTGCATTGTTATGGTTAATTACAACCAGGTAATATTTATGATCTGAGTGTTGTGAGAGTTGAAGATCCAACTTTTGACATTAGCTAAAAGTGTTTAAATTAAACTCAAATACTTAATAATATGAACTTTTACAAATGAAGCAGCTTTAGTTGTTCATGTTAATTAATAGTCACAAATAGTGATTTCTTTGGACAATTCTAAATAGTCAAGTGTGGATGTCTGAGTGTAAACAAATTCTTATTTCTGTTCTAACTCTAGTTCTCTTGGCAAACGACAGAAACAATCACAAATTGGAAGACTGCTTTCTAAGCAACAACTAAATTATGAATTGAGACTAGATAAATCAACACAACCTAATGAACCTGAATATCTATATATTCACCCATATTCCTTGTCAGGCAAACCACTTCATATGGTCTCTATAACTTTGGACTTAATTATTTGTCATATTAAGAATGAAATGGGTATCAGGAAAATAAAAATGATTCAATCCGTAGCACTGTTGTTCAAGCTTTGCCGACACTACGGTGTAAAACCAGATCATGCCTCATGAACCATTGGTCACTAACTCTACACTTCTTTATAAAAAATAAAAAATTACTATCCTTTTGATGGCATCAAATTTCAAGAAATAACTTTAGGGCTAATTGGATTTGTGATTTGAGGTAAGTTTTGGAATTAAGTGAAGTTGTATAGTTTTGGTTAGGAGGGTTTTGTTTTTGGTCTGGTTCTCAATTTTGATTTTTTCTTTATTTGTTTCTACAAGGGTGTATACTTTCCTCTTTTTATTATTTGATATTGTTCTATTATACTTACTGATTTAACACCCCCGCCCCAATTGAAGTAATTGTGTCTATATATATAAAGTCTGTAAAAAAATTGTGTTGTGTTTATATATATACGTAAGTTCTATTCTACTGCACCAGAACTTTTAAGCTTATGTTTTATTGTACACATGCAACAAGGAACAGATTAGAACTCAAAAAAAAAAAAAAAAAAAGAAAAAAATTAATATATATAAAACACATTTTCAAGTCATTACTACTTAACCAAATCAATTTTATTTTCAGTGAAATATCTTGGTTATTTTTTGGTAACTTATTTCTCTTTAGATTTCTTCTTATTATTCTTCCAACAATTATTATTCTCCTATTGGTTTTTATTGGGTTTATTATTATCAAACTTACCATTCTTCCACTAACACCTATTTACAGCAACTCTAAATGTTGATAACAATAGTGTACACTCTCTACAGTACCTATCTTATCACAGAAGTGCAATGGAGTGAAGGGAAAGGGGTGGCCCTCCATCAAGAAAGATATATATATATATATATATATATTTTTTTTTTTTTGCTTAAAAATATATGAACAGACCACTATATGAGCATACCACTTTTTAATTGGGCACTGAGATTACATCAATTTATCATGTTATCAGCTGAAATGGGATAACACAAGTTTAAAATATATATATATATATATATATGTATGGGATAACACTAGTAACCAAAAGCAAGATTCTAAACATAAAAAAAAAAAAAAAAAAGGATAACACTAGTGAATCAAGATTATTGCTCCTTTTTATTATTGCTCTTTTTCACTTTTTTAATTGATTGGACTATTTCAAGCACCAAAAATTAGAAGGAAGCCCAAAAATCTGTTTGAAACAGTTTTTCCCAGCAAAACGTACTTTTCTTTGAAAATTCATAAAAAAATAAATTATCAACCAATTTGCATGAAACCAAAGTCCATTGGAAGCTTAAATCAATAAATTTTCTTACTGATTAAATCAGGTTTGAAGGAAAAGACAGGAAAAATTCCGCTCACAAAACAGTTTTGACAGCATGTTAACATCAACTTCGAAATTCCATAGTAATTTCAAAATTCAATCAATTTGAGCCAAACAATAGCTTGTAAACTCATTAACAATTGTACTTTCATATCCAAAATTTAATTTAAAAGATAACAGTTCTAAGTATAGAGATTTCAGCTCTAAAATCAGCATGTTTGGTTTCATTTTCCAACACAACTCTTTATTTAAATTCTAACAATTCTTCAACTAATTTCATGCCAATATGAACAAAAAAATAAGGCAATAAAAATTAGTAATCCATAACCAAACCTAGAAAAATGAAACTGAGTAGGGGGGTTTGCTGTTGGATTGTAAAATTAAGCAGTAATCCCTCTTTCTTTTAATGATTGTTGATAGTGTGGAGAATGCAATCTTTTCTTCTTTTGTCAATACATACTTTGTATTGGGATGCACTCATCAGGACATAAAATATAAGCGGAAAAAAGGTAAATGCACAAATATATCTATATATGCATTTATATAGAGAAAGGCTACACAAAAGCTAAAGGAACATAGAGATGAATGAGGAATTTGAGAAACAGTACCTGGGTTAGAGATCTGACCTCTATGATTGAAGAAAGTAGAAGAAGAGAAATGGTAGTTCAGAGCACTTTCAAAGATTTGGGAGAAGCAACAAAAAAATATCAAATCTGGGGCCTCTGGGCCCTATGTACGAGAAAGGGAAGATCGATCTTACATACCTGTTAGCATTGAGACCCAAATTCAAAGCATAATCTTCAAAACATATTAGTTGACATTAGCATTAACATAATAAAAATTGTTAGACTAGCTATATAACACATATATATCTTAATTAAGATTAATTACTTGTTAAAACAAAGAAGACTAGCTTGCAGATATATATAACAAACTTGTCATCAGAAAAGATCAAAAGGCTACAGGAAATTAACAATATTATCATGTCCAGAGATTTTCCTTAGAAGTGTGTCCAATTTTTTTTGCATATCACTCATTCTAAATCATTCCTAATAAAACAAATGAATTGCTCATTTCAGCAAGGTATACAAGTCACAGTTTAAGTTGCACATTTTTCATGCAAACTCATTGATGTTTAAAAACTAAATGAACTTTGACTTGTAAAAAAAAAATATAAATAAATTAAATTAAATTAAAAAATAAAAAAAATAAAAAAAACTATATGCACTTATGCAATTGTTATATTTGTTTCACTCAAAACACACACAACATCAATATCATTTGCTGCAACCAATCAATCATAAACAAAAAAATTGATGCAATCAATCAATCATTGCTTCCAAATAATTCTTAATGAATGTCATTTCACATTTCATGGCCTTACATTATCCCTTAATCAAGTAAACAAAAAAGAAAGGTAATAGAGATTACCTGGACAAAACCATGCATGCCCGGACTATAGAGAAACTGCCACATATATCTCACGTATATCAAGTAAATTGAGATATAAACTAAGTTCAAGCTGAAATGAACTGTAATGTCTCCCTAATGACCGAAGAAAATGAATGAATAAGCTCATGGTTGTGCATTCATTTTTATCTTCTTTTCTTCCTTCTCTTTGTAGTTCATAAATACCAAACTCGGGCTGCTGAAGAGATAGGGAAAAGCATTATACAATGTAGTCATTGTAATGAATGAATTACCCTATTTTAAATATGTACTAAAACTTGGAAAGAGAGGCACATTAATAGCAACCAGGCTTAAAGGAGAAAATTAAGTTTTAGTGACTAAAATTCTAAAAATAAAATAAAATACAAAAAAGAAGAAGATAAACAGCAACCAGACTTAGAGAGATAGGTCGAAAAAAGTGGTTTCATTAGAGTAACCAGATATGATAGAAATGTGCATAGAAATGTGCTTTTGGAGTGTAGTGTGATTGATGTACACAAAACCAATTGAATGAGAAATATATTGGAAATTGTGCTTTAAAATGTAGCATGTTTTATGGTATCACAATGGTGAAAAAAAAAAAAATGAAATGTCTTAAAGGTTCACAATCCCAATTCTCACTGAGAGGATATAAAATGGAGACAATTAAATATAGACCATCTCTAACTCAGGAATTAATTTAAGACATAACAATCCAACACTTCAATTAACAAACAAGAATGAAGTGTTTTAAAGGTTCACAACCCCAAATCTTGCTTTCCAAAGCAACCAACGTCACATAAGGAAATATAAAACAACACACACTAGAAAATAAACAATCTCATGGGACACAATGGAAGTGTTAATACAAGTGAAATTAATTTCATTTCTATCAATAGTTTAATATACAACTAGGATACCTAAATTATTAGGGTTACCTTTTGTGAGGGGAATCAGCCTGCGAAGAATGATAATGCATTAGAACACAGTGATTTCTACCACTTCTATTCTGCTCCAGTGGAGGATTCGAGACTCTGAGTTGAACTCTAAGTTGTCTGGGCTTAGGGCTTGCTTCAAGAGGGTCAGGGAGTGAGAAGAATAAGAATCAAAATTTATGTATCAATTTTAATCGACCGAGTAAGTTTTGCTAACAAACACACACATATATATATACGTGTATAAATACAGAGAGAAATAGATTGGAAACAAACCTAACAGCAGCGGTCGTCTGCAAATCGCCGAACACACCTTCGTGTCTCTAATGGAGGATCCAGACTTAGGGTTTCTTCTTTAGGGGTTAGGGTTTGCTCCAATGGCCAACTGAAAGAGGCTTGATGGAAAGAGGGAAAAACGTTTTTCACAGGTTAGGGCTTTGATCCGACCGACAGTGTGTGTGTGTGGTTTTTTTGTGTGGGTGTGTGGATTTGTCTCTGTGGGTGGATCATTTGCTCTGTAGATGTCCAGTGGCGGTCATTGCTCGGAGAGTTTGCTGACTTAGAATTGAAATAGATGTGGATCAGTGGTAGTCATGGTGGATTTCTTTGTGTGGAAAAATGATAATTTGGTGAATATATTTTTTATTTTTATTTTTTTTGGACAGGGCAAGCATTGAAAATATAAGTGGGAAAGGGCTAGTTTTTTATCACGGTTCCTCAACAACCATGGTAGAGAGATCATTTCTTACCACGATTATCCATTAATCGTGGTAGAAAGAATTTTCTACCACAGTTTAAAATAATGGCCGTAAGAAATATACTTTTCATTACAGTTATTTTAAAATTATGGTAAAAAGGGTCTTTTACCACGATATTTTTAAAATTATAGTAAAAAGTGCGTGATAAAAAACTGTTTCTTTTTGTAGTATATAGAATAGACTCGTAAAGAGTTTTTCTTGCTTGTTTTAATTGTAATTTTCTTCAATTGATGCATTGTTGTCATATTACTCATCATTTTCTTACTCTCAATTTATAAACATGAATTTTCTTTTTCTAATATTGCTTTAAATATTTGTTTTCCCTTATTCATTTCTAGTTAGTAACAAACTCCAAAATCAATGTTCGAAAATCTCTTCTCCGAAAACAAAAACATACTTCAATGCGTAGTTCGACCCTACTTATCATTAAACATTTTTAGTGAAATGGTTGTAGGCATTTTATCTTTATGTAGAGTGTATTTGACAACGACAAATCAATAAATACACGCCTATCAGTCAGACGACCTCATGGACCAAATGAAACTCCGGAGAAAAGGTAAGGGTTTATCATTTATACTCTATTTCATTCTCAATTTTATCTCAATTCTGAATCAATTAAGATAATCAAACAAGCCTTAAACCCTCTCATCAGTCCAGTGCATTTTACAGCTATATATATATATATATATATATATATATATATGTATGTATATCTTGTTACCATGCGTTCTTGCAATTTAGCTAGAATGCGTCAATTGATGCTATTCTTTGATTATTTGTGTAATTATTTTATTGATTTTTTTGGAGACTTTTAGTTATATATGAAGGTTAAAAACCTGATGCCACCTTTTCTTTCAAGTATGAAGATTTGTTAAGGTCTCCATTGGCAAGTTGAACCCCAGTTGCTTTCATGAGGTCTCGTTCTCTTTTCATATTAGTCTTTTCCAAATCTCTTGTTTTTCATACTTTCCGAATAAAGTTCTTAAATTATGTTTTGATGTTTTTGTGATACAGTGACGCCTTAAACATTTACTCCTGACATTTTCCCCAAGCCTTCAAAAATGTGAGAGTACACAAAACCAATGATTTATATTGGAGGGTGATTTACTTTACAGTTATTTCAATTTTCTATGAAGCTAAGATTTTGTAGATTGATTCTATTTCACACCCATATTAGGAAATTGATTGAAAGTTTTTACTCCTAAAGGAATTTTAAATTTAATTTTCCTTTCCGAATCATTTTAAGTTCACTTGTCTCTTTGATTGAAATCATAAGCATTCGAGGATCTATAATTTTTTTTTGTACCCTCATAGTTGGCTTATCTCACTATTAAGTTTAAACAATTGTTGTGGATTGGTTGTTAATCTCAAGCATTACGCACCAATGCATAATTCTTAGTTTCTGTCAGCATTTATTAAGAATTGTGTTGCAGCTAGAAATCATTGTAAGATTTCAAAGAATGTGGTATAATGTTGTAGGTTGGGAAAAGAGAGAGAAAAGTAAGTACTCCAGGAGAATTCTAAGATACGTTAGTCCAATAAAAAAATCAAAAGTCCTTGAATATCTTGATCTTTCTGTGCTTTCTTTTTTTCAGAGCTAATACTTTGGGAGGAAATACATAAAACTTTACTAACTATTGTAGTGGCTTACCTAAGAAATGAAAAGTTGTGTTTAGCATCTTTCAAAAGGGTTTTTGTTTTCCATCAAAATGTTCATATATGTGCAGTTCATTTTTAAAAAATAACATATTGCATGAACGTTGCCATGGAAAATTGTGTATAAAATGGCTAGAGGAACACTGCACTTTTGTCTTTTGTTCTCTTCCATACTATTCTATGTTCTGCTCAGTTTGCTCATTAGGCAAGATAGTGGGATTTCATAGTATGTTTCATCATCATTTGAGTTACAGAAATGCTGCAACTAATAATGATGAAATTTTAATGGAAAATTACTTTATTTGTCTTCATAATTTTCCTCCTTCGCACTTGTAAAAAAATAATTTCCCCCCTTAAACTTTTCTAGAAACAATTTTCTCCTGCAACAATAGCTTGAGAATTATACTAACAATTTTCATTCTGTTAACCTAACCTATCACACAAACAACATCAGAGCAAATTGCATGATATATTAATATGTTTGAGATAATGGTGCAGAGTCTAATGGTTCTAACAACCCTGTCACATGCTTGGAAATTTGTGACGCTTGAACCATTTGGAAACATAGTATACCGACTTTGGTTGCTGATAAGTTTCTTAATTCTTTAACATCTATAAATTATTCTTGTCAATGATATACATTCAACCAATTACAATATTTTTCAGCATGATTCGACTAGAAAGAAAGAGGATTTGGTATCTTGGAACTAAGTTGGGTCCATTTTTATAGATTAGTATTTATATTTCTAATTATTTACATTATCGTATGCTCTTCATAGGTTTGCAATAAAGCTGACACTTATCCATTAAAAATTTTCAAAGCATCCTCATGTTCATCTTCTCATTTAAGTTCATCACATGTAATTGAACTAGCATGTATAGTCAAGACCAATCTGCATTCTTTGTTCTGATGTGTACTATAATAAAATCTTACATTGCTAAGCCTTTTTTTTTTGGTAGTTGAATGGGTAAGCTTTTATAAAAGAAAAAATATTTACAAGTCCAAAGCTGGACAAAGGAACCTTAGGAACAGTCTCCTAAGGGACAACAGGCAAAACAAAACAAATCTGCACTCACAAAACATATATACACTGACAAAACAAATAGTCTTCCAACTACCAGCCCAACTTTTCCATGTCTGCAAATTTAATCTGCCAGCCATGACAAAACAACAATCAATCCAGTCACAACAAGCTCCATAGCATTAATCCAGCAATAAGGTTTGGCCATTAGCAAATAAACAACCTTTGGCGAATAATTCTTGCAATTCTGTCACTGTACTGATACCCCTCAAATCAGTTCCACACTTGAGTTGAATTGAAGCAAGTCTAGCTCTGATGCTATTCTTAATCATTCTTATGATGAGATAGGTAGGGGAAGATCTATTTCTGAATGCCCTTGTGTTCATTTCTTGCCAAATGAAATAGATAGCTGCAGAGAGAAGAAGTTTATGAGTGAGCCATTTACCATGAGACCAATTATAAGAACACCAATCAATGAGCTCTCTCCAACTGTTAGGCTTGGTGTAGAAGCCTGCCACATGCTGAATGAACTCCCAAATTGCACAAGTGTATCTGCACTTGAAGAAAAGATGGTCCAATGATTCCCAATCCGCAAGGCAAAGATATTGGTGTAATGTTTTTTTCTCATTACAGTAGACTCAAGAGTATACAGCCTCCCTTTAATTGCCAACCACATAATATGTCCATGCTTTGGGATGTGATTTTTGAACCAGATGAGATGCTGCCAAGCAAATAACAAAGAGGGTGGTGCATAGTATTTCATTGTAAGCTTATGAGAGTAGTCAAGAGGGGCACTTGGAAACCATTATATTAAATCAGGTGCTGCAGATGGGGGAGAGAGGGATTGAAGTTGTGTAATGAATGTTTGTGATTGGAAGAATAGATGTTGCTGTAGAAAACTTGGGACTGTCTATTGTGTATTATTAATAAGACACTCAATTTTGAGCTGGGGGTCCAATTGTAAAACTTCACTGTCAGTCATACCAAGCTGTGATGATATAAGGCCATCAGGTAACCCATAGTCCAACCATAAACTTGTATTTCTTCCTTCCCCCACCTTGTGTTTGACAAGACCCCTAGCCATGCCCCTTAGCTTGAGTATTCTTCTCCAAAACCCTGAGCTCAATGAAAAGGGTTTGACAGTCCAGACACTCTTTGCCTTAATAATGTATGCATAGATCCAAGCGACCCAAAGACTATCTTTTTTAATACATAATTTCCAAATGTGCTTAAGGCTTGAAATTCTATTTGTCAAATCCAAGCAAGGAAAACTAAGACCACCACTTAGTTTAGTTCTACAAATGGCTGACCATACCACTTTAGCCCCTTCCTTTCTTGTTTCAATCCTTGACCAATAAAATTTTCTAATAATCTGATTAATCTGATCATTGACTTCAATAAGAAGAATGAAGGCTTGTGTCCAATAGGCTTGTATGGAAAAGATGATGGATTTGATTAGAACTGCTCTTCCAGCGTATGACAAAAACCTTAAGGTCCACATAACTATTCTTACTGTGATTCTTTGTACCAAAGTTTGACAGTCAGTGGAGCTTATAGCCGAGGAAGAGAGTGGAAGGCCTAGGTATTTGATTGGTAAAACCCCAATATCAAATTGTAACAATGAAGTGAGATTGGATTTTGTTTGTGGATCTACCCCAGCAAAGAAAATTTGACTCTTAGAGAGGCTGACAGAGAGGCCTGATGTATTTAAAAACTTATTTAAGGTTGTAAGCAAGACTGTCACAGAGGAAAGGTTACCATGACTTAACAAAATTACATCATCTGCAAATGCCAAATGTGTAATTCCCAACTTTTTACAACTCCAATGGTATTTGAAGCTAGAATTATGTGAAATAGAGTTAGTGATTGCCAGTGAAAGGACCTCCATTGCCAAAACAAACAATAAGGGTGATAATGTGTAATACCCCTAGTTTTCAAAACGGATAAAATGGGAATTTGAATTTAATTTATGTGCTTTTTGTTTTACTAATGGGAATTGGACTTAGGTGTGTAGTTGCTAATTTTTTAATTGTGGTTTTATGTAAATTAATTATTTATTTATTTTGCATGATTTGTTGAATTATAATTATGTATTGGTTTGATATTATTTATTTGTATTTGTTTTAAATGTAATTATTATTGGCATGACTTTATGTGTTTGTTTTAATGGTATTTTTTTTACTATTCTATTTACAATTATGCTCATTGGTTTAGTATAATTAAGTTTAGGGTTTA